GTTATATAGAAAATTCAGTCAGTGCTTCTCCCAAAGTCTTGTTTTATGTGAGTGTGGAGATGGATATGCCCAAAAGCAATTGGATGGTTTATTCTGATGAGCTCTGCTCTTCCATTTACACTGCTTCATATAGGCAAGTCTCCTTGGGAGCTTGAGTTACAATGACATGCAATTATTCACCTTTCCTTGTTTTTTTTTTTCCCCCTCTGGCTTGGGCTATTTATTTCTTTTGTTTTCTTACTGCATAATGGCTTTAGATAACCATGGCTTCCAAGCACAAAAGTCATTAATGCTCCAACATAAATTGAATTCCTACAACTAAATTTATTGATATTTATCCCATCACCCAAAAAGGGAGTTACTGTTATTTAGGCAAAATAATATACACAATTACTCAGAGCATCAGAACAGTCTTCATAAACTCCCAGGTGGTAGATGATGCCTGGGCGCCATCCTGTCAAATTCGTGAACTTCTATTTTAGATTTTTGCAGTGACGAAACTGTGCATGCCAACTGGTACTCAGCCACAGAACCCATCACCAGCCTCCCGGCAGCAGAGCCTGCAATTGCCACCATCAGAAAGATCCAGAAATAGTCCTGCTTGGGAAGAGGGAGTGTTGACAGTCGAGCAGAGCCAAAAAGTGATAACATATTAGGGAGAACTTTAGAAATTTTGTGTTATTTACAAGTGGATATAGAGTTTTCTACAAGTGTTCTTAAGTGAATAAATAAAATTAGTTGTTACATGAAAGCATTTGTGAGATAATAGCACTCCTAGAACATTGGAGACTATGTATTTTATTTGCAAAGGTCCAGCACCAAACTGAAGGATAATAGGAGAGGGGCCTTGCTTTGTGGGGACCACGAGGATTCTCCCATCCTCATCACTTCCCTCCAGCTGGAGCAGACACATTCTTATGTATTTTTGTATAATGACATTCTGTAGGATAGATATACCACATGCATAAAGAATGCTCCATTGCAAACCTGGACCATCACCATTACACCAAGTTGTGCATTGAAAATGCTCACTGGGGCTCGAAAGATGGTGAAGAGTAAAGGAGCTTGCTGCAAAACCTGATGGCCTGGGTTTGATCGATCTCTGGGCCTCAGATCATGGAAGAGAGAGAGAACTTGTGAAAGTAGTCTTCTGACTGCTACATATGTGCCATGGGACATGTACACATGGACACACAAAGTAAAAAATTAATTATTTTTAAGTAAATAAATAAATAAATAAAATTGTTTTTAATGTGAATGGAAGAAACAAGAGTGATGTAAGCCATGAAACGGACTGAATACACACAAACAGTTTCACCTCTACACAACTCTTAACAGGATGTGGGTCTTCCACCCACCCTCCGAAACTAATGGTACCAGTGACCTTTAAAAATACGGATATGCGTGTGCTCTCATGAGTTTATGTACTGCAGCAGCTTGCAGAGGCATCAGATACTTTGGACTAGAGTTACAGATGGTTGTGAGCCTTCACTCGGGTACTAGAAACTGAACCCAGGTCCTCAGGAAGAGCACTAAGTGTTTTCAACAGCTGAGCCACCTCTCCAGCCCCATCTTAGTCACTATTGTCAACCACAATGAAACATTTTGTCAAGTAATGGCTAGAATGGCTTCATTTCCATCAGCCTGCGAAGTCACTGGACAGCTAATTATTCATTCTCACGAGAAGATGGTTTACACCACACTTTCTCAGAGCCACTTTGACATGACAGCTTGCACCGAATCACCAGAAAATGTAAGCATCCCTCACATTGATTCACCAGGCCCTTTCCAAAGTCCACTAATTAACAGGGTGAAGAATGAGATTTATTTTTTTTACCAAGACAAAACATTTAGAAAATTTCCCAGTGCCTCTGGAGAGATTTTTCAGTGATGCAACCTCCGAGGAGGCCTGAGAGCTTGGCTTTAGATTTGCTCTTAGAGTTAGCCAGCTTGTGAGTCACCTGACGAAAGTCAGTTGAGCTTCCCTGCTGCTCCCTGGCATTTTCACTGGAAAGAGGAAAGATGTATTTTGGCTCAAAGTTTCAAAGGTTTCAGTTCATAATCACTTGGCTTCTTGCACTGGATGAGAACAGTGGTGGGACAATGTGTTGTGGTGGGACATTTCCTATCACCAAGGACAGAGGAGAAACCAGAGGCTTGCTATAACCCCCAAAGGCCTGCTCCTACTGTTCTAGTTCTGATTGTTATGCCCTTCCTCCTAAACTTTCTATAGCTGATCAGAATGGAGCTGGGAGAACAAGAATGCTGAATGTGAGCCCCCGGGGATCACTGGTTTGCACCACACGGTAACGGAGTGATAGCTTTTTCTGTTGCTGCAGCAGAACACAGAGATGGGGTAACTCAGGAAGAAAAGTCAATTTTGACTGAAGATTATGAGATTTTGCATGTCCAAGGCCTGGTGATGGTGCTAGCATTAATATGCTCTGGTGAGTGCTTGTGTGGTTTCAGCTCACAGCAGAAAATAGAAGCACAAGTGAGAAGGGAAGACAAGGAGCCATGACCACAGAACTCACTGGGAGGGGGCGGGACTCATGAGACTGTGATCTCTTTATCCAGACACCTTATTTGGTGGGAGAAATGTGAACTGTCCCCTTCCTTTTTAAATTGTGGGGTTAAACATTTTTGGATAAGAGAGAAGTTCAATACTAATATGGCTTTTGTAGAAAAGCACAGGGTGGAAAAGAATGAGCATGTCCTGTGGGGAACTTTTGTGGACTTTCTCTTTCCCCATTGTGTGGGTACAGTCAAATCCCATCTCTTCAGGCTTTTGGGATTCTCTGAACCTCCCGTTACTCTTTTGCCTCATTTTCTACATTTCCTGCCTTTTACTGTTCAATTGCAAAGGCTTCAGGCATGAAGTTTTGTAGAGAACCTCAGCCTGCATGTAGGGGATTTCCTCAGAACAGACTGAGGGCACACACCCTGGGTGAGCACACTGAAGACAGTGCTGTCATCTTTCCCTGGTTTAGCAAAAAGACAACAAATGCACATAATGACATGTTTACCACATTCTTCAGATTCTATTTTGGGTTTCTGTAATTTAATTATGACCCCATAATTTAAAAGACCCGAATTCTTAGAAAGGGATGAAGCTCTGATGTCAAGGAACATGTTAAAGGTGTAGAGGCAACTCCAGAAGGTGAGAGTTCCACCACTGATCCGACACAAGCTAGTGACACATCTCAGGACAATCCCTAATGGTGAGGGACCTCTAAGTAGGGCCATATATGATCAAGACTGACTGTTTATTTTAAGCTTTTATTTAACATGGAATGAAGCTGTATAAGCTATCATCGACATTTAAGCAGGGCTCCCGGAATGTTTTTGAAAAGTCAATTATTTCACAAAAATCCTGAGATCATGATTTGAAAAGCATTAGATTACATATCCCACCAGTAACAGAAATTTGGTTTTTCACTCCAGATTTATGACAACAATTTAGTCATAAATTGTGGTCATGTTATAATTACAATCTCATGCAGATATGTTATGGACTGAATGAACATCTCAAAGATTTATATGTTGAAATCCTAACCTCCAATACGGGAGCATGGAAGAGAAAACTTAGGTTACAAAGCTGTCACCTTCCAACAAGAAATTGCTGCCTTCCTCTGTATTCCCCACAGTCTGGGATGGCAAGAGGACCACCATGGCCAGAATCTAAACTACTAGTACCTTGCTCTTGGAGAAAAACTTGAGAACTTTGAGAAAGATATTTAAACCACCCAGCCTGTGGATGCTTTGCTACAGGAGACTGAGCTCACTGATGTATTTATAAATCATACTGAGGAGCATGAAACAGGAAATATTTGTTTTGTTATCCCACACATTCTTTCCTTATCCCAGCAAACATGATTATGTATATATCCTGCTTTTGAGACAACTCTTTTAAGAATTACAGAAATAATCCCTGAAAGTATAGTTTCAAGACAACTATGTCAGATGATTATACTGATAATGGGGCTGACACTTTTTAGTAAATTCTTATTTAAAAAAACTACCTTTTATATCTACTTGGAGAGTAAAATTAAATGACAATATAGATTCACCTAAAGTACAAATTCACAAAGACACACTTGGGGCTGGAGAGATGGCTCAGTGGTTAAGGGCACTTCCTGCTCTCACAGAGGACCTGGGTGTGGTTCCCAGCACTCATATCACAGCTGTAACCCTAGCTTTGGGATCTGACACCTTCTTCTGGCTTTCATGGTCACCAGTATGCATGTACAAATGCACATACAAATACACACATATAAACAAAAAATGAAATAAAAAAGACACCCTTGAATGCAATCTATCATATACTGTCTAGGAGATAAAAATATAACTGTTGCTAAAAATAGCATATTGATAGGACATAAAGAGCCACTAACTAATGTGTCATTCTGTAAAGGTACAGCAAGGCACTTCTGTAGGTGTGATTGTGCTATGTAAAAGAACCATAGCTAAACCTGTGTTTTAATACAGTAGAGGAAATTGGGCCAACAAGTTCTCACCTGACTCTGTTTAGGTCAAATCTTACTGACAGAGTCAAAGCCATTAAAGACCTAGGCACCCGTATGTTTCCATCAAAGCAGCCTTCTGAAAATGTGTCAGTCCAGGGAAGAGAACTCACACAGGTATGATTTTGTTCTAAGAAATTCATTACAGAAGCAATAGCAAGAGCGAAAGGCAGAGAGAGGAGTGATGAACCTTTCTGTAAGTGAAGGAGTGTTGTCCCCCAGTATGTGACAGTAAGATTTTCAGTCTTGAGATAGAAAACTCAAGATTCCTGAGAAGACTGTAAACCAACTCCTAAGTAGCTCTGCCGAGTTGCCAGTACACATTCTGGCACAGTAAGGTACCACAGAGGGATGACTATCATAAGACTTGACAGACTACAGTGAAAACAAACTAGTTTAAAGCAGACCTTGATTTTTTTTTTTTTTTTGACCAGTTAAATCCGGAACGCTTCCTGGAATAAACTCTGGATTCCTTACCTTGCCATATTTCTGTGCATAAGATCCAGTGAGGAGAGAGTGGAAGACTATGATGGTTTCGTCCAAGTCCCAGACAAACACACGCTGAGGAGAAATGGCCAGTGTCAACATGGTTATGGGTTAAGAACACAGATCTTTACAGTTAGAAATGTCTTGTTATATGCAGTCTTGACTGTCCTAGAGCAAAATCACCCCCTTCCATTGTTTATTCATTTTTCATTAGCCAAGTCTGATTCTGGGAAAAGCTGGTGATATGGGTGATATAAGAGCATAGTGATCAGGCATCCCGACTTGAATGCATACAGGCAACATTTGATTACAATGACTACGAAAAAGATACATTCTGACTTTATGATAAAAAGCAGTCTAATGTTGGTATATTTTATAGTTTTAGACCTCATGGATCCATTACGGTTTAGAATTTATAGAAGACATTAAATATTTTCAAAACAGTTTAAAGTAGCCCCTAAATAGCACTTGTCAAATGTTGACCCTTGTATCACATACGTTTGTAAATGTGTTGTTTGGCCTGCAGGAACTTATGACAGATTTCAAAGGACTCAGAAAATGTAGGAGATTCCACCCAAACATCAGGGCTTTGACTCTGCAACAGAGTCTGGAGTTTGGACCACACTGAATAACACTCCAAAAGTACAGGGTGGTGAGTTCCCTGACATGGGCCAATGTCTCTGCCCCACCCCCCCGTCCATTGGGCTCTCTAGCTCTCAGTCATCATGTCACCTACCAGGCTCCAGAATGCATTTTACCTCTGAAGTATAGTCATGCAAATTTCTTAGCAAGAGGCATAATGGCTGCTACTTGATTTGAGGTACAACTGAAATTAATTTTTTCCAGTTATGTGATTGTGTAATTGTGTAGCACATTATAACTATTCAGTGTCTTATAATAGAAACAACTTGCTTAATGTCGTTATGTCTCAAAAGAGCTCAAAAATGGAAAAATGAATAAAAGTCCACAAATACAATATATATTTAACGACAAGATTTTACTATTTTCCTTTCCACAAAGATTGCTCCTATCTTCTTAAAAGATTATTTTCTTGGGAATTATTCCACAAATAGTAGCGTTATTTTTTTCTCTCCATTTTTAATTTAAATTAGAAATAAGATTGTTTTACATGTCAATCCCAGGTCCCCCTCCCTCCTCTCCTCCCCTGCCCATCTCCGACTAACACCCTACCTATCCCACACTCTTTCTGCTCCCCAGGGAGGATGAGGCCTTCCATAAGGGGTCTTCACAATCTGTCATCTCCTTTGGGATAGGGCCTAGGCCCACCCCCTTGTGTCTAGGCTAGGTGAGTATCCCTCTTTATTTTTATTTTTTTTTAAATCAGTTTGGATCAAAAGATGACATTATGTTAGTCTTCAACATTCAAAGTTCTCTTGCCTTTGACGTTACTGTTTTAAATTTTGCTATTATGATAAACAAAAATCTCAAAATTCAAACTGATAAATTACCTAAAACAAAGCAGGTCCATTCAATTCAGGATATATATTTTAATTTGGAAATTTACTAGTTGGTAAATTATGGACTATGCCATCCAGTAAAATCAAGTATTTGTTGTTTCTTAATAATAAGCAGGCATAGCTGGGCATTGGTGGTGCACGCCTTTAATCCCAGCACTCGGGAGGCAGAGGCAAGAGGATCTCTGTGAGTTCGGGACCCGCCTCGTCTACACAGTGAGTTCTAGGTCAGCCTCCAAAGCCACAGAGAAACCCTGCCTCGAAAAACCAAAAAAAAAATACATAAATAAAAATAAAAAAAATAATAAGCAGGCATACCTCCAGGTCACTGTCCGGCGGTGGGGAGGGGTTATTTTTCCGACCTCTTCCTCGAGATTTTGACCCAGAACTTCTACATGTTCTGTCATCAAGATCTTTGATGGGTGTGGAAGGGCTCTGCACCGTATCAAATTCTCCTATAAACAACATGATTGTGACAAGAAGAGCAGTTTAGTTTTAGAGCAACTACAAGTCCTCATTATTATGTCACAAATGCCTATAAATTAACGACTTCTTTATGAAAAATGTATTTCAGATATGTAAAGCTGTCAAAACATTTTATGGGTCACATGAATTCCTCACAGAAGCCTGAATGCCTTTTATATGCCAAATACCTTCAGCTTCCTGTCTGCACTTCCTCTCCATTTTTCCCTGGGTTTAGGTCTAGCCTCACCTCCATTGGCGTCACACTTCAGAAAACAAGATGTCTACTGATCAACACCAGGCTCCCCTTGAAAACTTGACTCCCCAGCCCCACAGCACTTGACTGTGCCTCATCACTTCATGCCATCTGGTCTTTCCTTCTTACTCGTCCCTTTCCCTGGGCCACTGGCAAATTTAAAGCTTCTTCTTGGCCATGCATTTCTATCAAGCCACTCTTTGCTTGCTCTCTCCTCTTTCAAATGAGACTCCTTGAGACAAAAATCCACACTAGTGCTATTCAACAGAAATAAACTGAATCACCAAAATTGAGCATAGACTTTTAAGTTTGTAATAGTTGCATCAAAAGGCAAAAAGAGATATAAAATGAACACACATATGCTAATTCAACATATAGGAAATATCATTTTAGCATGTAATCAATACATAAAATTAGCAAGAAAACTTTTATCTTTATTATTTTTATAACAACTTTTTGAAATATTGCACATATTATAGTTATTTTAATGTATAGTATCTATGTTGTTAGTGCTTGATAGCCATAAATGGACAGAGGTTACACAACTGTATGGTACAATTCCTTCTACTGCCTTTTATCCAACTTACTAAAATCTAATTTCAGTTCATCAAAACTTGAATACACATATTTTACAGAGAGTCCCATCAGATTGACATCAGATTGACAAATTCAATATACAGGCTCAGTCCTTATCTTTCCAGGCAGGTGATGTCTTTGATCCTATTAAACACAGCCCCTCAGAGTTAGGATTTGGCAGCTGATGTCCTGTGACTTGTGAGTTCTAACCTTTCTCTCAAATGCCTTTCTACTTAGTCACAAACTCTTGTCCTCTTATGCTCAGGGCAGGTATCAAGTAGCTCTGGTCTTCCTACTTCACACATTCTGCATGGTGTAAGCATCTCATATGCTAATGAGGACCAGAACAATCACTCCCACCCTCCAGGCAGCATCTGAAGTTGTAGATTGGCTTCTGTATGTCTATAGGTCCCTGAAATCCAGACTCATGTACAGTTAGTGACCATGGATTCTTCTAGACTTATAATAGTCCTTCGAGGATTTCACTCAATTTCACTGGACCTCAGTTTCAGTATATATTGAATTCTGAATAAGTAGCTTTTTAAAATTATTGTAGATGAATCAGATTTGCATTTAATTTAAACCATGTGTGTAGAATGAAAGTCTCTAAGAAAATCTCTACATTAAATTTAAATGATGTGTTTATAAACAAAAGAAATATGATGATCTTAATTTATCATTAAATTTAAAATAAAATTCAATAAAATAAATCACAGGGCATTAAGTAATTCTGGATAAATGTACATTGAACATGGCTTTTCTGAGAAACAGTAATCATTATAAAGTTAACATCTTACCATTTCTTTTGATAACAACAGTTTATTTGGGAAATACTGTATGGTACAACATCAAAAATATATCTTAGCTATCTTTCCCAATAAATAGATGGGGGAAGAGGGGAGTGATAGAGGGACTACAAAGAGGGACAGCTAAAACTAAGGGTCATTTGAGAGGTCATATGAAAACTTAATATAGTAGAAACTTCCTAAAATATATACATATATAAACATAATCTAATAAAGTTGTCAAAATAGCAGGGGAGACAGACCCCCAAATGGATATCTCTCATCACCAAATGAAGCTTCTAGTTCCAGGTGTGGGGTACATCTAATCAAGTTGTTGGCCAAAGAGGGCCCATAGAAACCCTCCAAAACAACTTAAGCTATGGCTGAGGCTATTGATGGTCCCAGTGCTGAAGACATCTGCACAATTCATTGAGTATGGAGAAGCTGAGCTGAGACCTACCTAGAGCCTTCACCCCTACTGACTAATGCTTATTATACTGGAAGGTATTCTACATGTTGTTGAGGGAGAAAGGTAAATACCAACCCAGCTACAAACTCTTTGATCTACAAAGGGGACCTTCATGCAAGATGCACTAATGCAATAGTGACACAATCCCTATGGGCCTAACCAATCAATATCTGATTGGATTTAAGGCTCAGTCCATGACACAGAACCCATTCTTGACACTGCTGGGTGGTGAAGAACCTGAGACTAGATAGTCAAGGACCCAGGGGACAACCAAATACTACTGTTACACTAAAGGAACCTAGCACAAAAATGACTCCCAATAACATTCTGCTATACTCGTAGATCAATATCTTTCTCAGTCATCATCAGAGAAGCTTCCTCCTGCAGTAGAAGGGATAAATACAGAGACCCACAGCTGGACAATGTGCAGAGAGTGGGAGACCTTTGGACACCCAGTCAAAAACAGAATGTCTCCATCAAATACTTCCAATTAGGGCTCATGACCCTTGTTGAAGCGGAGGTGGAAAGAGTGAAAGGGCAAGAAGGGATAGAGGATACAAAACAAAAACAAACCAACAAAAAAACCCAAGGCTTTCTAGACCTCACAGAGATTGTGGCAGCATGCACAGGTCTGGGCCTGATGGAAACCAGAGCTGAGACGGGAAGTAGACACAAGCTCCCACTTCCAACACATAAGCTATCTCCAATTGAAAACTACTCAAAAGTGAAAAATTAGTTTTCTCTAACAGAGTCTCATTAGGTATACAAACCACATATAAGTGCAGATGCCATGCTCAGCAGTAGATGGCCAGCACAAAACCAACTGAATAGTACTTTTAGAAGAGGTTTTTTTTTCTTTCTCATAAAGTTTTGTCTTGGCTTTCCTTCCTT